AGCAGTGGCAGTGCTTTGCTGAATGGGGACAGGAGAAATGCTGTCTGTTGGAAGCAAAGCGGTGACTGTGAATAACAAAGGATCATTTCATAGCCTCTGTAAAATACCAGGGAGGGCAGGAAAATTATGGATCTTTTATTAATAAAGCTTAGGGGATTACAAAATCCAACAGCTGTCCTGTCCTTTAGACTGCAGACCCTCTTGGCCTTTCTGCCCTGCCCAGTACTCTGGTCTGATACCTGCTTGTACATCACTTGTGTGCGGTGACTTGTCATTCAGTAAATGCCAGTAATGCCCAAGCAGACAGAGCTCTGCCCAAAGTAGTTCGCAGACTACTTAGCACAAGAGGAGGGAGAAGGGGATAGGATGGGGCCGTGGTACCATGGGGTGTGATGCTGGAGCAGGAGGAGGCACTGGCCATGTTTTAATTCTTCAGGTGCCCGGAGGAGCCCGCTGCTGGGCTATTGTCATGGAAACACTGTTATTTTTGAGGATTTAAGACTGGCTCCAAACAAAGGTTAAAGGGAAGAAAACCCAAGGGATTGGATGTGCAGAAGGTGAGATTTTCCTCAGCACAGCAAAACTTGCAAATGTCCGCACCAGCAGCGAGTCCTCCAAGGTGTGTGGATTTGGGGCTGGAAATCAAGGCTGCGCCTCGTGCAGGAGCTGGTTGGGAGCGTGGTGCTTGGGCTCTGGCTCTGCTCTGGGTCACCCGAAGGCCTGTTCCTCCTCCTGCCCTCACCTCTCATCCTACCACACTGTTGAGATGCTGCTGCCTCAGGCTCTACCTAGAGTAGACAACATATGTGCTGGCTGGTGGTTGTTTTTCACACCTCTCTTGCTGTTCAGGTAACAGATCTATGTCTGCACAGGTTTTGACTGCTCTGCGGGTTAATGGCAGCGCAGCCTTCACAGTTGTAAGGAAGAGCAGAAAGGCAAATCTTCAGTTTCTGCTTCCTGCAATGTTAAAAGCAAACTGTACAATTTCTGTACAATTTTGCCCAGCTTTTAAATTCAGAGGCCCAGGCTATGTCTGCTAAAGGTGTGTCCCTATAGATGAAACAGTACTGGGATGTAATGGGTATGAAGGGCCAAATTACTGGTTCGTGCAGTAATTTAATGGAATGATGCACATGGCTTCAGGGGCACGACTTGATGCAAGTGCATTCAGGATCTGCCTGCCCTTGCACAGCTGTGCTGCCCTCCTGGCTGCCATTAAAGGTGGCAATCCACCTTCCCTGATGTGATGGATGCTCGTGTTTAAATGTCCCAACTGGAGCAGTCTCACAAAAGTCATCACAAAAACCAAAGGTGCACAGAATATGGCCAAATGTGAGTGCAGGTCCAGTATCTGCAGGATGAGGTGGAACCACTCATAACGTGATGGGTCTTTGCAGAAGTTTGGGAAGGCAGCGCAGGGAAAGGGGAACAGGACTGCATAACATGGGTAGTTGGTCCAAGCGATCCCACCAAGCGACCAGTAGCAGTATGGGCCAAGGAGAAGAGATGTGATGGCAACAGTAAACTGCACTGAGGAGCCCATGATGCACAGTATGCCAAAGACGAAACTAGCCTCCCACTGAAATAGAGACAAAAGCACTTTATCACTTTTCTGACCTGCTGAGAGAATTTTTTTAAAAAAAAAAACTTTAAAGAGCTTGGTATTTTTTATTTCTTCATTTCCAAGTTGGAAATAAACCCCTTTTTTATATCCAATCTCCTTTATTCTATGTCCAAAAAGGGATGAGACAGTAAGGAAAATTAGTAGTTTGAATGTCATGAACTTATTAAAGAAAAATGTGGATTTTTTTTTTACAGGGAAGACAAAGTCATTGAAACCATATTTTACTAAAAATACTAGATGAATAAATTGGAACAGGTATACTTACACAGTTTGTCATATAGCATATAAGTACAGTGGGTGGCTTTTAAAATTCAAACTAAAGGCTTGAATACTAACAAAGTTCCTCATTATGAAACAGAAAATGTGATAGGAACCAGCAGAACTACTGTGCCGGTGGGATATTTAACGCGTGCCCTCTGTATGCCCTGCACAGCACGTTCGATCCACGATATTAGCAAAAAAAGCGCTTTCCTCTTGGAATGCATCACTGCTCCCTCACTGCCTCCTGTGTGTGACACTATAGGCTCCTGGACTTGTCACCCTGACTGGTGGCACCTCGCACTGAGTTACCGCCCTCAGCAGCTCCGCGCAGCAGGATTTCAGCGGGGTTTTGCTCAGCTCTGGGGTGGGTGGGTGGGTGGAAAGGCTCTCTTGTGCTGGGTGCTCAGCCCTCGGCGCCCGCTCCCTGGCTCTTGAGCCTCTTTCTTGTCCCGGCGCGTCCCTGCCCCAGAGGGGTTTGCTATGGAGCCAGCTCCATCCTTTGTGCCAGCTGAGAGGCTTTTCCACGCTGGGGGAAGCCTTAGAAGAGCTTTGAGGAATAATTTAAATTTCCTTTGATCCAGCAACTCTGCAGGTAAAGAACTAATGCTGTTAAAGCAGGCACGAACTAGCCGCTGCACTTTGAGCCTCTTGGGGAGCAGAACGGGCTCTTCTCCTCTATCAAGCTGGAATAACTGCCCCGTGTTTCTCCTTGGTCCAGTGCACAGAGTGGTTTTAAAAGGGCTTGGATTGTGCACAGCTGAGGCAGGACCAGGGCCCTGCTGCTGTACCCTCAAGGCTAATCCAAAATGTCTTGGAGGAAAAGCTAAAATTTACCTTTTGTGGACTCAGGCATAAATTTACACCCTTTTTGTGTGCAGCACAGCCACAGATGATGTTTATTGTCTGTTGCCAAAACTGTTCTGTGCATCTCCTGCATTTGCTGCTCTTGTGCTCCTAAGCTACCTTGGGGTGGTTAGAAAGACATGGTCACCCCCAACAGGGGACACCATTCAAGCTACCATGCTGGCACTGACCAACACTGCACAGCAACTTTAATCAGGACTCATGCTGACAAAGGGGGAGCAGGGAAGAAACGCAGGATGCCATGAATGGGAATGCCCGAAGGAAACCCCAGGCAGTGCAGAAAGGAAGGTTATTAGGTTATTTTGATGTCTGCTTCATGCTGCTTTTGTCACTCTGGACAAGGAATGAGTCTGAGTTTGGTTATTCTTCCTACGTGCTGTCAAAGGCACAGGAGACGCCTTATTTTCCAGGTCCCCGTTGGGGTAGGGTACACTGCATCACTGCCCTTATTTCAGAACCAGTTTTGACTGGGGAGGGTATCTGTGGTGATGACGTACGCAGGCGCATCTTCTCTCATTTAAATATACCAGCAGTGACTGGCTTGCAGCGAGTAATCTTTTTTTTGTCCAGTATAAGCATCTTGGACCCACATGTATCTTTGCTCCTAACTTCAGGCTGGTGAACGGAAAGAAGAGCTGAAGATGTGCTGAAGGCAAGAGTCTGTGTCTGAGAACACAGAAAATAGCACGATCTGGGCTATAATTTCTGGTGTGACAGAGGAGACTGTACCGACACAGATCCAGAAACTTGAGCAATATTGTCCTGCGGTTTGATTTCCATTCTGGCATGCTAAATGCAGTAAGGCCGAGGTTTTTCATGGCACTTTCCATTTTTGATTCAGGGAATTTGAAAAATAGTTGTCTTGAGGCTGAGCCTGAAGTTATAATCTTGGCATATCCATACCATAAAATTCCCGTGGATAAAAGCAAAAACATCTGGATTCATGAGTGGATGTTGGCTAAATCCACCAGAAAAAAAAGCCTTCAAGGGATCCTGGAGGGTTCTAGCCAGAATAAATAATACAACAAAATAAGAGTGCTATTAAGACTAATTGTAATACTGAAGCTGAATTATAAGATGAGGGCCAAGCCCTTTTCACAATCTGCTTTTCCAGTGGAGAGCCCTTCAATTTACACTTAACGCACATGTGGCTGATGGAACAAAGAAAAAAAATTGAAGAAGGATGAAAGCAGTGTAGAGATTATTCAGCCTTGCTGGTTTAGCTCCAGGCACATCATTTAAAAGAGTAGATGATCAGTTTCCAGTTTGTTTTAAATTCCCTGGCAAGAAATTTTACGCTCTATCCCAAAGTTGGATGTGCTTAAAACTTTTTTTTTAAGGCTTTGCCATTTCATTTTATTTCCTAAGGTAAGACTCTGGAAGTGCTCTGCAGGAGACACCTGAGTGCTGGGACTGGAAGGGCAGCCTGGCTGTGTCACTGAGGGGGCCAGGTCCCTACTCCCAATCCACAGGGACCCTAGGACTGGGGAACACTTGCTCCTTTTCTCCCTCATCTGTGGGAGGCTGAGCCCTGCCTTGCCGAGCTCGATGCTATACCCAAGCTCAGCAGCACCCAAAGTCAAGGAAAGTGGCCAAAAACTGCTGTGTCCCACCCACCCACCTGCAGCCTTTTTGGCTGCACCCTGTTGTACCAGCGCTGCTCGGCTGGTTGAGAGCTAGTGAAAGGGGAGAGGTTTGTATTGCTTGGCCCTTGCATCTCCTCTTGGTGTTTTCAGGGTTAAGAGCTGCTGAACAGCACATCCTCTTGCTGCCCAGCCCCTCCTGCCTGCATCTCCTCTGTGCAACTTGCACCAGGGCTCCAAAGCTGCCGTGAGCACCAGGTCATGCAGCGTGTCTGCCTCTGCTGTGACGGGGTGATCTACACCCGCCGCCAGGTGATTAAAAAGTTTTATGTATCCCTCTCCAGCCAACACAGTCAGCGTTTCTCATTACCTGCACTTTGTCCATGCAGATCTGCCTTGCTGACCCTTCCTGACCTTCCGTGTCGCCCTTCCCAGTTCCTGGAATGCCTTGGGCATTTGCCCACCCTGTAACCTTCAGCCAACGCAGCTTGGGGTGAGTTGCTTCATTGTGGAATATCGGTCAGCCCTTGTCCTGTGCCCTCCTCTTCCCTGTTGCCCATACCACAGCTGACTGGTTGAATAGCTCTTGAGGGAGCTGATCTGTTGGTACCACTCTCGTAGGTTCTTCTTCATGGAGACTTTAGGTTTTCCCCGCCAGAGAGGCTTCCTGTGATGTACCATCAATGCTTAATGCTCTCTGAAGACTGCCACTAGGCTCTGAATGGTGGGATACACATTTGAGGTGAGGAAATACTTCAGGTAGGACTGGAAATAGCAGTGATATACCCAAATAGTGGTGTTTACGCTGCCTTGTGTTCCGTACAAGGAATAATCCTGTTCACACTGTGAGGAATGGGAGTTCAGTTGGCCTTAAAATAGCCTCAGCACACCTGAATCCATCAAAAAGGACACCCAAGTATTTCTTAGGACATTCTTTTGAGCAGATCTTCTTTCTGCCAACTTCTATCACTTCATCTGCTGTGTATTGCCCAGTACCCACAGCCTGGGCCTGAACCGAAAGCTGGTAGGACTTAATGCAAAAAATTCAGAATGCTGCTTTCTATAAGCATAGCACCTCGACCATCAAAGTGAAAGGAGGAAATGCATCTGCTCATAGATGTTACAAAATATTTGTTTTAGATTAGCTGCTATCGCTGCCACTGCCCATGTTTGCAGTTGTACTCTTCTACGCAACTTGAAGGCAATAGGAAGGCCTGCTGAAACGGCAGGGCTCTCGGTTAGGAGCAAATAGTTTGAGAAGCTGAGGAATGAGAGATGAAGCAGAGCTAAATTTAGAATCTCAGATAAGAAAATAAGTGTATCTTCAGTGCTCTGTGGTTTTATTTTGCTCTACACAAAGCACACCTTGGTTTTGTATGGCTGTTTGCAGATTGTACTGACTCAAAGAAGGCTTGTGGAAAAAAAAAAAGGCTTTGATGTCTTCAGTAAACAAATAGCAGTGTTAAAAGATCTTCAGTTCTTGTTAGCATGCAGCAAACAGCTATGTTTGAAGAAAAATAAACATCCCAAGGTTGATGGAAGGGTAGGAAAGACACAAAGTACTGTAGTCAAATCCTTGGTATGAAGACATTGGAAATGACAGTGCCATGAAAAAAACATTTTCTCTCCTTTTGAGCTGAAAAGAAAAGAATAAACTGGTTCATGGTTTGCCAGTCATGTGGTGGGAATATAGGGCTATAAAACCCCATGGCTAAGTCATTACCATCCACCGTCCAAATCACTACCAAAGAATACTACCAAGTCCACTGGAAAACCGAGGGTAGGAGTCCCCTGGAGATCTTCCCCTCCAACATTGGGGTCAGGGAGAGAAAACTCACTCTTCTTCCAACCCTCATTTTGAATCAGCTTCCTCAGTGCTTGACTCTTAACCCCCACAGCTACAGGACCTCATCCCAAAAACCTCACTGGCTTTTATGTTGTGCAACCAGGCGGTTTCCGTGAGGAGGCACCAGGCATGCATCGTGCTCTCAGTGCGGAGGATGAGGGTTTCACACCATGTGCCTACCTGAGCTTTTAGTCTGTAAAGCTTGTTGTATTTGTCTCATTGCATCACTTACAGCATCCCTTTGGAAATGCAAAAGCTTAGGAAGTGAACCAAAAGCTAAACAATGATCTCAATTATACCAGCATAACTCTGGGGATGTTAATTTGCATTTAGACCCTTTTAACAATCCAAATTAGGGTCAGAAGGAGAAAGTTTGGGGGTTTTTTTTGCAAAGGAAAAATAAAAATCAGCAGGTCATGGTAACAATCAATACACCAATATTTACTGCGAATTTAAATCCTACCAAGAGCCTCCAGGGAGCCTCTCACTTTAGTTTCATGTAATTCCAAGCATTTATCTGTTTAAAGATGGTTCACAGGAGCTGGGAAATAAATAATTCAGATATAGTTGACTTTTTAAAGTCTCTGTAGCATCACTAACATCTCTCCTTTGATAATGCTTTTGTTCTGCCTACCAAAGCTCCATTCTAAATGGGACTCATGAGGCAAACACTCCATCTGAAGACCCAGGGCTTATGAGAAAAAACAGGGGGGGAAAAAAGGAAAAATTCCAGGAAAAAAATTGCTTATAATCCCAAAGGTAATAAGGATCCCTCTGGCAACTTCATGCAAGCTCTTCACTTTCATTGTGAGCCCCTCCCTGCTGGATTCACAGCGAGGGTTTGTAGCTAAAGCCGAGGCACAGACAGTTCATAATAAACAGAAGCTCCTTAGAGACTGTAGCCATGGCATGTGAGAGCTGTTTACCTGGCACAATGAAGCACTATTCTGTTTATCTTCAGATGTTCCTACAGAACAGAAAGTATTACAGTGTGGTAAATAAGGCCCCTTCACCCCCAGGATTATGTTTTTTTTCCAGACTCGTTGCTTTCAGCTGCAGAAAGCCCATCCTGTGATTTCTGAATTACTCCTTCATCCACCTTCCCAGGAGGACAGACCACTTCCCGGTGCAGAGCGAGCCAGAAACTTGCTGACGGCAACTGGGGTGGCTGTTTCCAATGCTGACCTGCCCATCCCAGCCAGCATGAAACCAGCTCCTTTGGTGCCAGCAGCCCCTGCAGGACATGGACGTGTCTTCTAGAGTAGGTCCACCTTCTCCCCCAGGAGAGTTATTGCTGATGTAATGAGTTTGTAGCAAGGAAATTGAGGGAATAGGCTCTAGCTTCTAACTTGAGATCAAGTGGATTGCACAGCTAGTGTTCTTGGTGTCTTTGCCCCAAATGCGAAAGACAAGGGCACTGAGAGCTTTGAGAGGTCCTTTGGAGGCTGGAGGTCACTCCTAGGGACTGTTCCTGGGCACAGCGGCGGAAAGGCCTTTGATTTCAAAGGGATTAGGGCTGGGTGCCTCCCGCTGCTCATCAGACTGGAGCCCTCTTTCTCCCTACCTGCCACAGCAAATATTTTGATTGCAAGAGCCAAAGCAATTGTGTTGTGTACTTTCTCATATGCAGTCCCCGAGGCACGCTGCTGATAACCATCAAACTCATTTCAGACCTCTGCCCCCACCACTGGAGTGCTGCCACTAGCCAGGGGAGCATTGGGTACCACCGTGTGCCCCACGGCACATCCCGATCCTCCTAAAGGAGGCTCAAATGGGACTGTCACTCTTTGGGGTAAGCGAACTTGCACGGTGGTGGCTCCTTGCGCCGCTGCGATGACAACATCCCCGCGGCATGATAGGGGAAAGCAGAGTGGCAGATTTAACAGGTGGTAATTCTACCATTAAACTCGCAGCTCTGAAGATCCTATAATACCCAGTTCACCCCACTGGGTGGGATTCAGCACAGAACTGATTTATGGCATAGCGCAGGCAGCTGTGTGGAGCGTGTTTATTCAACTAACGTCAGCCCTCTTCACCAAACGCTATTCCACTTCTAGTTTAATTAAAACACAATTAGCAGGGCTTGCAATTCTCTTAAATACGCCCAATCTCCAGTGAAATTAATATTAATCTCTGTTCAATGTGCAAGTCAGTAAAGTGACACGTGGAAAATTACATGTTTTTGACTCAGGAATGCAACTTGGAGGGTGACTTCATGTTCCTGAAGGAGAAGATCGGCGTGCCAGATGTGCCTAGTGGCTGACCCCTTTAAAGGCTCTGAAAGATCACACATAACTTTCAAATGTCATTTTCAGGCACGCAGAAGGAAGAAGGAGAGCCTGATAGCTTTCTGTTACTTAGCTTCCCATTTAATCTGGTTAGGGCGGTGTGAATGTCTTAATAACATGAAGCAGAGCTCTGATCTCTGTTCTGGCTGCATGTTTCCAATAGACACCCTAATGCCTTTCTCATGGCTGGAGTGGTTAACAATCTGTATTTTCTTGCTATTAATTAGAAGTTGTGATTCGTTTTCTGATGAAGAGCAAGCCTCACAGTGCAGCTGACAAGTTTGCAGTCCTCGCTTTCGGTCATGCATTGAATTTTACTGAATTGTTTTGTCTGGAGACAAAAAAAATACCAAACGTGCGTATAGAATTAATTAATTCAGCTTTTAAAAATTATAATTTTTATTTTTAAGTCACAGAAATCAGGTGGTAGTCAGTCTTTCCTGTTCTTGACCCTTTCCTCTGCTGTAGAATTGGACATCCTTTCTATTTCCTTGCCCAACTGCTCGCTCTTTTTTTTTGCTGAAAAGTATCCAGAGGGTCATCCAGGTCTCTGTCTTTAATAAGCGTGTGCCCGTAGCGAATTACATAAGGGCTTTTTGTACACTTGTATTTTTCCTCTCCCCCAGTGCATTCCACGCACCTACACAGTCATGCTAATTAGATCATGTAATAAACTTAAACGTGGCAAAAAATCTGTTCACAGGGTGTTGCAAGACAGAGCTGGATTTGGAAAGCAGCCATTCATGAATTTTGTTTTGTTTGAGAAAACCCAAAGGATGTTATTTTACTGAAGACGAAGCAACCCCCATGTAATAAGAGCTATAATCTAAGGAGACAAATTGTTTTATTTAAATAGCCTTCAGTGAGCCCTGATGGGCTTGCTTATATGAAAAAAACTGTGAGAGTTTAAGAAAGCCGTTAAAAATAATTAAACCTAAACGAAAAAACTAAACTAATGTTAAGTTAAACTTGATTACTTTGGTTAAACTGAACTATTCAAAACTAAACTAATGCTATCCCATAATGTATACCTACAAAGGAGCGAAGTAGCAAGGAACTTAACTTGGAGCATCAGGTGTCTTTTAAATAAAAAGAAGTGTCTACGTGGGATAGGGCGATAGATTCAAGTTGCACCTCAATCAATTTTTCTACAGATGGTCTTAAGCTGTGCATAATCAGTAATCCCTGCATTTGTAGGGTAATAGAGGAGAGTGAAAACACAGCCTCCTCTGGCATACCACTTAGCGTTGCAACCTTACACTTGCATGCTCATTTCTAGAGAAAAGAGTAGTTTTGGGTGCTCTACCAATGTTTAACTGGTCCCGAGTTTTACGATACAGTTGGTAACGCGATGAGATGTCAGGTAGGAATTGCTTTCTTCATTTCAGTTCAGATGCTAAAAGTTTTGGTCACCACTGCACTGAATCGCATTTAAACCTGTAGATCTATTGAGTCGGCTCCTAACTATAACCACAACAATCTTCATAACGATGTAGACAGGGGGAGAGCATTACGAGATGACTGCCCTTCTGCAAAGCTAACAAAGGCAGAGGCATGGAGCATGAAAAAATGACATGTTATGAAAGACATGGGAGAAGGAGCTGAGGTTGTGCCTGGGTCATGGTGCGGTGGTCCGGGAGAAGCTTGCCTGCAGATCTCATCAAACCGCCCTTAATGAAGTATGACGATAACTTTCAGCTATATCCCTGATCGACACTAGATGTTGCTGTGCTGCTACTCATATAAGCTATACATTAGCGAGGCTTTTAAACGGCGTTTACTGCAATTTCCTTTTTCCTGTTTCTGTTGCACCCTATATTCTGAAGGCTGGGTGAGCTGCTACTTTAATTTACTTGATTTTTGATGATTCAATTTTGTTTGTACAATATCAGGTTTATAACCCTCTCGAACGTCCATGTAAAACTTTATAAGCAACAGAGACACTTATAAGTGATAACATGAAGCAACTCCTACATGAATGTCAAATATTTACTTAAACTCGGCTTTTGGATTTTTCGCAATCCGAGGGGAATGACATTGTTAACCGGACGATTCCGGGAACAGACTGACAGCTGCAAGGCCAGGGAGGGAAGTTTGTTTATAAGGGGGGGAAAAAAAAAATATAAAAAATAATTTAAAAAAAAAAAAAAGTTTAGCCCTGCTGGGTTTCAGGCTTTCTACACCCACGTGTTTGAGTGGGAGAAAGGACAAATCTTAGGACGTTGATTTCCCCATGGCAACAGAAAACGGAAATTACTTTAACCCCATCTAGTGACAGATGACTCATTGCTCAGCCTGCTGCTATTTTCCAAGCACTAAAACAATACAGCTGCAAAGAAAAGGCCAGCCTATATTATCTCATAGGCTGAGCGCTGGGGCTCGTGGGAGAGGGCAATTCTCTGGCTGCCTTTTTATCAAAGACAGACAGAGACGGAGCCTTTTGGCGATTCTTTTATTGTAAAAGGCAAACGTGCCTTCATGCTCTCCGTCCCTGTGCCGCTGGAGGGCAAACCCGGGGTGTTCCCGGGATGGAGATGATTGAGCACCCATGCTGGTGGGTGTCCTACTGCTTGGTCCTCCCCGCCCTGCATCCAGTGGTCATCATCATTGTCATCATAGAATGGTTTGGGTTGAAAGGGACCTTTAAAGGTCATCTAGTCCAACGCCCCTGCAATGAGCAGGGACATCTTCAACTAGATCAACAATCCAACAGGGCAATTCCATGCTTTCAGTTTAAATATGTCCCCCTGCCTTGAATTATGTGCAATGAACCCTGCGTGCAACAGAGGAATGATTCATTCACAACTGCAGCCCGGTGAGGGGACAGCAGGTACGAGTAGGGCTTCCAGGTCCCTACCTATGAAAAAGGCATCTGATGGCTGAAGTGCATTGCTGTATGGCTGGGGAAGTCATAACAAGATCCCACAGGAAAGGCGGAACTAGAAATTATCAGCCTTGAAAGCTTAATTATCCTAGGTGAAAGGGTAATTAGGGAGAGCGGTTTCTGAGCAAAGACAGTGGAGCCATTATCACTTGGAGTCCTTGAACCCAGATGAGGTGTTGCTATGAAAGACAAGCTTCAGTCCAGCTCAGAGGATGAAGAGGTAAGCTATGTGCTCCGGAGGTCAGCCTCAGTGGCGTATCTGTCATCCCACATGTTAGACCTCTCAAGGCAGAGCTGCAAGGAGCTACCAGCTCCTCTGAGGAGCATCTTTGTTGAGCATCTCCACCATCTGGATGATGACTCTTGCTCAGCCCCTTCTGGACACGGCAGAGAAGGGCTGTTTTGGAGATCAGCTGGTTCAAGCTCATGGATTCAAGGGCAGTTCTTCAACTGCCTCTTTCCACCAGCAGCTCCGTGTAGGAGGTTCCTTCTCCGCAAATGCTGTTTTTCCCAAATCCTAGTGAGGATTTAGTAAGGCTCAGAAGTAAGGCTAGTAAGGCTTACTGAGCCTC